TTTTTTTTTTTTTATACGTCGCTTTGGCTTCGACAGCCGCGGGAGTCGAGCGATTTAATCGTCGATAATACAATAATAACGCCCCTCTTGCAATTACTCGCAAAATTGATCAAACGTTTAAAACAAAATTCTATATAGGATTTTTTAATTTAATAGAAAGAAGGCAGAGGAAAAAGATATAGTAGATATATGTATACATAACATTATATTTTTATCTTATATATCAGGGGACGATAAATTATATCTATTCTTTTCCGAAAACGCTATGTCTCTAGATAATTATTTGAAATTTTCTCCGAAACACCGTTTGATCAGTTTCGTGAGTCGCGATTATTAAAATAAGTACGAAAAGAGAAGGTTGAGAAACAACCGGGTGGGAACATAGTATTCTTGATTAATACACTCGGTACTGGAGTCGGTCCGATAAATGTATTCGCTTTAAGTACATTTATTTATTGTCCGCTGTATATACGATTATCTCATCGAAAGGCGCTCTCTTAGGGAACGTTAAACGTCCTCCCTCGGATAAATAAACAAATAAATAGATCAACGAATAAGTGAAATCGAGATACGAAAAAACTACATTTATATCTCGCGCAATCCAATAGAATTGAATCATACATTGTGAGGTGCTCGACTAGAATTAGTGGATCACTCGGTATATCAGCTTGATCTCGATAAATGCACGTACATGTGTATGTCCTATGTGTATGCGCGTATTAATTTATGCACAATAACAGTAACAATAACGACAACAGCGATCATGGTAACGATCAATAATCTCGACATTTCTCTCTCATCCTCGATTGACTATAGAATGATGTGAACGATAACGATGATAATCGCGACGCGAGACGCTCAGCGTCTTCAATGTCGATTTTTAAATTTTAATTCAATTATTAATCTCTTTAATAAGTTAAATTAAAGTTTAAGAATCAACGGGTCGGGATGTATAATTTCTTATCAATCTTAATCTTTCTGAACGCGCCTCGGCGTTCAATGATTTACATAATTACGAAGGCTGTGCGCGCGTGTGCGTGTATGTGTGTGCGTGTGTGTGTGTAAAGGTCTATAATTGCGCCACTTGCTCGTTATTAGTTTTGCTGGTGGTGCTGGACGTTAGCGAGATCTCGGTGACCCCCACAGACGTCCGCACCGCCGCGGTTAGGGCGCTCTGCAGGGGTACGTTCTCGCTCGCCGACTCGCAACCTGTGTCTGCAAAATGAAAATTTCATTAGCCATTAATCGTGAGAAGAGCGAACCGGAATTAGGCTAAGTGCACGGAACGCGACGCGCTTGGTACCCTCGGGATTTCCACGGTTCTTCATTGAAGCGTAACCAACTGCGATAAAATAAAAAAAAAAAATTGAAAAAATTATTTCTCATCAATCAATCGTTACCGGGCGGACAAAAATCTCGTTTAAAAAATTAAGATTTGAATTAAAATTTAACAATTAATGTCACTTAATATATAAGTATCTTTATATATCCTCAGTAATATAAGTAATCTTCCTTTGAATTGTCCGGTATCTTGAAACGTTAAATTAATAACATAAAATTAATCATTATTTCATGAGCACGTATATAATATTAATTTAATATATCGGTAACAAAATTTCAAGTTAAGTTTTTGCACGTCTCTTTCTCATTTCATTCGCAGGATAAGGAAAAGGACCTATTACGTAATCGCTGTCTCATACAAAGTACAAGCTATATGAGACGTAATACTCGTTTATAATACCGTCACGTGTCACGGCACGAAATTTCCCAAATTCTCCTCGAATAATCCACCTATAAATTTACACAAGAGGACAAAGGAGAGTGAAGCGGTATTAACTTAATAATTTAGCACCGCTTAGGGCAGAATCGTCCGAGCCGACCATTAGCGCGCGCGATCGCTCGCTCGCTCGCTCGTCCTATAATCCCTTTCACGATTGCATAGCCGCTGCCGCGTAATAACCAACGATTGTTAATCACAAAGCAACGGTAGGAATAAAATGATTTATAGCATCCCGGATATAATAAACGTCGAGAGTCGATTGATATGGCGTTTGGAAAGTACGTAAGTAAATGAAACTCGCGTTCTCTAAAAAAATGTTTGGTGATCTCTGCGTTATAAATAAAACGTTTAATAAACGAAAAGCGCTTCTAAATCCGCGCTAGGATTGGCCCAGATTCCAGCCAGGAGCTGCTACATCCATAGAGAGCCGCCGTTACGCTATCGAATATCAAGCCGTCGCGTCTCCCGCGTATCGATTACTTTCTTTCGAATGAAAGCCCCGAATGGGATGACGAAGCGATTCGTCGTCGTCGGCTCGGATGTCATATGTCGGATTTTTCGAATGTATCGCGAATCGGGAAGTTGGATTTGTGCTACAGGTCCCCTTTAAAGCTAGCTCTCTTGAAAAAGAAATATTATTTTCATATTTATTCTTATTATGCCACGGATAAAAAGAAAAACGCGTCATCGCGCGCGACGCACGTGATCCCGCGTGACGATTATCAAGTTCGCAGATGAAGCTTATTTAAAATCGAATAAAAAATTCATACGAATTAACGTAATCGTTCTTCCTTTTAAAACATCTTCATAATTTCTTCGCTATCTTTTCCCAAGAATCTCTTTTAAAAAGAAAAAAATTGACATTTATAGATTTATGCTCTTTTAAAATATCACTTTGCATATTTTTATTCCATTAGATAAATAATTATCGCGCACATTATTCACGCGTTATCAAACGAAACGATATATCGAATGTAGCGGAAAGATAATGCGATCGATCGCATTGTCGCGTGTGTTTCCAGAATAAGAGAGGAAAAGGAACGCCTTTTTCTTCTTGTTTTATCGATTTGCGGGTCGTGGTAAATTGTGTTTTGTCGTAAAAAGAAAATCTACGAGAAACCCTCCCTCGGTACGGAATCACGTGATTCGAGATTATATCTTTGAGACCCTCACACTTGGTCATAGACGATGCGCCGGCGCTGCTGCCCTGCTTCTTGAACGTGCTGCCCATGTAGACCTTGCCGCGTATATTCTTTTCCGGCTGGAAGACAATGATGTAGACCTTGGGCGAGTAGAGGCAGACCAGAGTGACGGAGGCGCTCAGGCTGATCGCCACGCAGAGGGTGGTGATTTGCGTCTCGTGGGCGTTGCCGGTGCCGAAGTAAATCGGCACGAAGGCGAGCCAGATGATACACGTGGTGTACATGGTGAAGCCGATGAACTTGCTCTCGTTGAAGTTCTCCGGTATCCTGCGCGTCTTCACCGCGTACACGGTCGAGACGAGGATCAGCAGGGCGTTGTACAGCTGGGAGAACAGGAAGCTCATGTCCTGGATGTTGCACTTGAGGATCACCTGGCGGCGATCCGGGTACGAGTACCTGGTGCCCGGCGGCTCGATGATCATCCAGATTAGCGTGAGCACCACCTCGGGAAAGCCATCTCTGTCTGTCTATGTGTCTCGTGACGGACGAGAGAAACCGAAAAACGCGCGAGATAAGGGTAAAGCGCCTATTTCGAACCGAATGTTGAGATATCTTTCATCTCGATACGTGTCAAACACGCGAAGATTCTATTTACGGATTTGTAAACTTTTCTTATTAAAAATTATTAAGAATCCGAGGAAACTGTGCTCAAATATTGGAATTTACAAAATTGCAAATTTGCATTTTTTAGATTTTTTATGGCTCGATATTTTTTTCTTTATTAAGTTTTTATAAATATGTATTATTGCACAGATAATTAATTTGATATTGTCTTTAATATTGCATTTAATATTGCCTTATAATTATAATGCGATTTTATTACATCAATTGATTAATTGTGCTAATAATCACATATTTCATTTCTTTTTATTCAACATACGAACAGCACGTGTTACGCACTAAGTAAATAAATAAATAAACAAACATATATAATCTCATTAGGTCTTTATTAAATGTACTATTGCGCAGATGATTTAACTATGAACAATTAATCGCCTTACAATTACACAACCATTGCGTCATTCGTTTTAATTAACAATCGCGTGTTTATTTAATTTGCTGCTACGCATTACGAAAATCTCGTGTGGTTGCAAAATGTATAAATGTTAAATGAATAAATAAATGTTAAATGAATAAATAAACATTAACAAAAGAGAAATTGACTACAGTATCTCGATAGCGAGACAAGATACAGATATTTCTCTCAAACGAGCGCTCGGTTCGAAATGGGAACTTTATCCTATCAAGATCGGGATCCACTTACCTGAAAGGCGATCAGCGCGGCCGCGATGCAAACTTGGGACGTCGGACTGATGTATCGCGGTCTGACGGCGGACCGCGAGGCCGAATCGAAGATCCTGGCGATCCTGTTGGTCTTGGTGAGCAGAGCGCCGTACACGGCGCTGAAGCTGACGCCGACGCCGAAGCGCTGCAGGACGCAGGTCGCCGTAGTCGGCGTGGCGAGTAGCAGGAAGGTGTTCAGGTAGCAGACGAGCACGCCCGCCAGCAGAATCGCGGTGAGTTCTCGTCCGGAGGCACGAACTACCGGAGTGTCGCGATGTTGGAAGAGCAGGCACGCCACCGCCAGGGTCGTCACGATTCCCAGACAGGATATTACCGCGGGGGCGATGGCGAAGGCGCTGCTCCACCTGAAAGCGAACGTCGATGTCTTCATTAATGAATAATAAGTAATTACCTTTCGATTTCTTATCACAAGGATTAAATTAAAACAAATAAAATTAAAATAAATAATCTCCTTTCCAAATTTTTATCGGGAAGAAAAGTTCTTAAAATTAAATTAATTTCTATTCTTTTTTAAAATAATCTTTATACTATTCGGAGTAAAATTCTTACATTACCAATTTTTGTAACCTTTTGTCACGTATTTTTAGGATCGATAACGCCTCCTAACAATGTCAAGTATTTAAATTTCGTAAAGAAAAAAAAAAGCGTGAAGGGGCGCGCACCTGATATGCTTGATTGGAAGCTGGTAGCAGCCTCGTTTGTCGAGGTGCGGCCAGAAGCCCGGGCCGCAGTCCTTGCAGGTGTACTCGTCGTAGACGAACTCGTACGCCTCGCACTGGTCGCACACCCAGCAACAAGTGTCACCCTGTTGCTTCTTTATCATACCTGGCTCGCAGGGCAGAGAGCACGCGGAGATTGGTATGTCCTTCGTCCCTCGCGCCCACACCATCTCCTCCGTGCGAATGTCCAGGGAATTGTACCATTTGCCCACCTCCTGTAGAACAGATGTGTCATCGTATGATCCTCGCCCACAATACACAAATTTTCCGATCGCGCATTCCGTCCGCGAAATTTGGCAGCTGATCAAATCTTCCGTCGAATTTTGGTCAATTGCACATGAAAAAGAGAGAGAGGGAGAGAGAGATATTTAAATTTTGTCGTGCTTAATTTTAATTATGAGTGGAAACGTTCGTTTTGATAGAATAACGTAATAAATACATTTTATAAACATTTTCTTCGCGTTTATATATTTTATACAAAAATTATATTTTATCGAAAGAAAATTAAATAAAAAATTTCCAAGATCTGTTTGTGAATATTTTATACGTGAAATTGTGCAATTTAAAAATTCAATTTACGTCGTTCATTGTTATAATTACAACAGTAAAGAAAAAATTGTATATATATATATATTGTTTTGCGTATATATAATCCTTTAGATTATAATTAAATTTCAGTGCAATTACTTTTTAAACTTTTTTATCATCGTCCGATTTTTCTTTTTTAGTTTTAAACTCAAATTATTGCCTAATTACTTCCGATTCTCTCTCTTACTCTAAACACCGTCATATTTTTCTTGTCCTAGAGCTCGAGGATCTAATTTCGCATCGGTTTTCCCTCATGGAAAACGTTTTCTCGCAAGTTTTCAGGGCTCTCGAAAGTACAGCCACGGCGCAACTTTAATTACTCGTTAAAAAGGTAGAGCCACCCCTTTGCGCATTCGTTTCATTCGATTCCGCGTCGCATCATCGATCGCGCCGACTTTACACGCGTATTACCGAAAGCAGACATGTGAAAACCGATATCCAGAACATCTTCTAAATACCGTATATATCGGTATTTTTTAACAAAAGCATACATTAATAGCAAAAACTTTCTCTCTAAAACAATCGGTCCCTATAGAATTTATTTACAGCGATATTTAAAATAATCGAGATTATATTATTTTCATTATATGCGAGAAATCGATATAGTAGCTCTGATGATATTAATTTTACAATGTCTAAAGCTTTGAATTTGAAAATCCATAGCGTGGGTTTGAATTAAAAATCTCCATTCTATCAGAATAAAATAAAACTTTGTTTTCGTTATTTTATATTTGAAAAGAGGCTCGAAATAACGAAATAAATTTTTCAGGCTCGAGGGATCCAACCAATTTGAACTTCGAACAGTTAAAATTGTTCGACCACCAGAAAATTCCGTCTCATCTGCGAAAGGGATGACGTGGAAATGAAACTTTATAGAAGCCGAGAAGCGGCTTCCTCGGGGAGTTCCAATTCAACTTATCGTCGAGAAGCGACAGTTTGTTCAATTATGCATCGGCGAATGATATAATAGCGTGTCGCAGTGATTACGGCGTTCCGGAATGAGCCTTACCCGATAGTGATAGCCGTTCGTGCCATTGTTGTTCGTCCCCTTTCGAAAATTGAGGATCTCGTATCGCGCCAGACCGTCCCCGTGCTCGTCAAATTTCACCTCGCTGCCGGCGTTGTCTGCAAAATCGTAACGATCGTGATAACAACGGATTCAGCTACGAGCCCTGAAACGGCATTAGGTTCTCGAATCGAATTAACGATCTGAGAGGCAATAGCCCACGGAATGTGATGTATAAGAAAAAGCTTTGACAAAACATTCAGAAATTACTTTTAAAAAAAATACGTCGAAAACACAATATGCGTGGAATATAGAATCGTAATAGTTTTTGCGAATCGAGATGTGAATCGGGTATTGATCCAGCAAGCAATTGTTTTTACGCTTGATATAAAAGTTTAACCGTTGTGTTATTTCACTTTTCGAAAAGTTTTTATTCCCATCCCAGAGGATGAAAATTTAAGATAAATATTCAATTTTTTTACGTTAAGACCAATTATATCATCCAACGCTATTCCTTCAAACATTTCCTTAGCATTCTTTCCTTCCGGCATTCTTTTAGCATTCTCAACGGAGGATGATAAGAAGAACGAGAGCGGAAAAAGGCGGCGGACAAAGGAGGCGAACAAATGGCGCGTCGCGTCGCGTTCCCGATTATTCCGTCGTTTTATGCGGCGCCGTTTCATCGGACTCACCTATAAAGGACACGTTCAACAGATAATTCCTATAGAACGCTCCGCGGTCGTAGGTGGCCATCGACGGGCACAGGCCCTCCTTGCGGTCCCGGCAGAGATCGCGGCGCAGATTATGAAGCGCCAGGGCGAACGCGTACACCGCGTCCACGACGAATTGCACTTTGGATTCCTGCTCGTAGCCGCTCGCCGCCGTGAGTCTCAGTTTAGGCGAGCACGGGGCAATGCTCTGATTGCCGGAATTGGCGGCCCTCCATCCCACCAGTTGGCCAGAACGCTCCATGGCCATCGTGTTCCTCCCCAGCTTGCAGCTGAATACCTCCTCCCAGTATTCTCCGAACCACGGATTTCGCCGATTGTTGTAGGGGGTGCGCGACTCCATGTACTCGTCGAAGTCGGGGATGTTCTCCGATTGTAGCTCGACGGTGATGGCGCCCTCGGCCTCTTCCTCGAGGCCCTCGACCAATTTGCTCTGTCGGCCCCAGCCGTCGCTGGCCAACCACTACAGAGATATTCGTAGTTTATCATTGTTTAGGAGAGAAGATAATGTTACGGAATCCCGTATCTTGTTTTTTAAATAAAAATTTCATCAAAAAATGTGTGGGGAAATATAAATAAAAACGTGCGAGGAAGGGAGGTTTCGTGTTACCAAACGGGGATTCTCCGGGAGAGCTTTTCTCCCACATCTCTGACCTGGAACGGCTGGCTGAGGTTCAATCGTTTCGCGGCTTCGAGAATACCGCGAGCATCCTCCGCCCGAGTAAAGAGGACGATCGCGCGGGCGTTCGGCTTCTTGCTCAAACGTTGGATGATGTCGTCGTACACCTTGTCATCCGCAGCGCTGGGCACCTTGAGGGCCGCCGCAATGCAGACGTTCCGTTCCGTCGCCTCGCGCGTGAACACCTCGATACCGTATTCGCCGTAGCTGCCCTCCGAATAAACGGTGGAGACGTACGACCAGTTGGCGCTCTTCACCACGTCCACCAGGGCGATCGACTGGAAGGTGTCCGGCGGTACCGTTCTCGCGAAGTAATCGAACCTGAGGAATCACCAGTGAACGCGACACATTGAGAACTGATTTTTATTCGGGTTGGTATTCGTGATTGATCGTTTGATAAATAATTGTGGATTTTCACGAAACTATTAGAATGATTTTTATTATTAAGGAATTTATTATTTTTATTTCATATTTTATTATATACATGTTATATATTTTTATACATGTATATATTTACGTATTATATATTTATATTTGAAAGACAGTAATAATTTCCCCACGAAATTATTTTGATCAAAGAAAAATTATTTTTCTTAATCCTGTATCATTAATAATTAATTCTGTAGACTAATAATTAATTAAGAGATCAGTTAGTCTAAGAAATTAATGATTAATAATCCAGAGGATTAATTATGAAAATTCATAGCTCTTAAATATTGGCCGATTTTCCCGTCGTACGTTTAAACTGTCGTATCTTCAAATATGTACTTGTTAAAGTCATATAGAACGACTGTTTAAACAGGGGTCGAAAGAGTCTTCTAACAATCATACACGACGTCGGCAAACAATGTTACAAACTGTTTGATAGAAATGTCAAAAGTTCACATTAATTACAATCAACATCTTACTCGATGAATCAACGATTGTTAGAGCCAATAATTGAAGAGTTTACTTCCAGAGCATAGCTCTTGAATTCGTGTTTCCAGAGAATTGGAGATTTAAACATTTAATGTAAGTATTTTGTCAGCTCGTAAAACGTTATCTCTCCATTTTTAATAATTTTATATTTAATTCATATGTAGAGTTTTATCAATTTATAAATTTTTCTGAAAAAGTTAGAGTTTACTCAGAAAATATGAATTTGAAAAAAGGTCTTTCAAACACAGAGTCGTGAAATAGAAATTCACAAAATACGCATTTCAATAATACAATCCACGCGAATACAAATTTATATAATTAATATATAATTAATTATGCTCCTTCACAATTATAGTCTGAAAATTATTTATGTCCGTTGGTGCAAAAATTGTTTCATCATTTTTATCATGTTTATTACATTTTATCATTCTTTATTAAATTCTGTTTTATATAAAATTACTAATTTGAATTTTCAAGAAAGAATACTGAGAGAAAGAAAAATTATATTTTTCGATGGGAAAATTTTGTATGTATATTTCTACGTAACTTTATTCAACAGACACGACGAGTCTTTTTTTTAATCAATGTAATATTTACGAATAAAAGTACTGTAAGTAAATATTATAAATACTATAATAATTCTATTGAGCGTTTAACTTTAAAGGGAAAGATCTACCTGGTCTTGTCGCTGAGCGCCTTGGCCGTGGAAGCCGGCGATATTTGAGGGATGTGAAAGAGTCTGAGCAGATTCGCCACCTGCAGCGATACCGAACTGTAGGAACCACCGATCACCCCGAAGATGGGCCCCGCGCTGGCAGTTTTTTTTACCCTGGGCGTCGACCGGTCTGCGCACTCTAGCACGCTGATGTCGATGTTGGACAGGGAAGCCCTGACGAAGTGCAGGCTCTGATTGAGCGCGTACGTGTCACGGCCGCACGTATCGAGGATGTGCACCCCCAGCGTGACGCCCGGCAGCACCTGCTCCTGCTGATTGATCTGATCGACGGCGAAGAGCATCGCCTCGAGACGTTGGACGCCCCGATGGTAGATGTTGGGCCCGCACGCGGTGCCGCCGCCCTTCTCGTGTACCGGGAACAGTCCTCCCAGGACGATGTCGCCGGGTATCAGCACCGCCTCGCTGTGCATCCTCGATTGCATCAACGACACCGTCGATAACCGCTGCAGCGACAAGGTCAGGAGCAGCAACGGCCAAGGCACGCGCTCGCGCATCTTAACCGCCGGCTGTGGTCTGCCTGTGTCACGCTGCCCTTGACAGTCCTCGCTTCGTCGGAATCTAGGATCTTCGATCCACCTCGCCCGTTACATCTGTCAAGGTGAGTCTCTTATCTCGAACCAAGCACCTATTTCGGAGATGAAACAGCTTTCGATCCTTCGCTCGTCTTTGCCCGAGAGTGGATTCTTACGTTTCGCATCGATCGAATGATCGAATCTCTCCTGTATAATTCCTTACTAACGAGTTGAATCCTCGCGCCGATTACGGCCAAATTATGGCGCAATTAAAATCCTAAAAATTTATTTCTCGAGACAGGTACTCCCTACTCTGTACTTACCGTATTCCCTGCAGATAGGATCCTCGATGGTCCATTAACGCATCGTCGATTCGCGCCGCGGAAAGAGGCCGGATTCCTCGCCATCGATTCCGGGTATACGCGCACCGACAGCGAACTTCTGCTTTTTGACCTTTTCTCGGGTGACACGCACTTTTCCGCATCCCTTCCCGCAAGCTGATAGTCCCGGGAGAATCAACGTCGATTCCCTTTAACGATCACTTTCGCTTCCTCTCTGCGGGAATTCCTCTTATGTCCTATACATATTATTTCTCGAATTCTTGCCAAGTTTCTTCGTTTTTCACTCGTCAAACGCCGGTTAGAGAAGAGCCGCGGTACACAAATCCTCCCTAAGATTCTCTTAAAGAGGAACTTTAAGCTTTACATCCGATGCGATTATCCTCGGATGCCTGTTGTTCCGATAAACGATTCCGGAATCGAGGCGGGCGAATATCGGAAGACTTATGTTCCGGAACAATCATTCGGCGTCGTTGTCGGTCTTCGTGTTGGGACCTTTGAACCAGGTTCTCTTTTCGAGTTAGGATTCCCTTGAATTTTCGAGTCTTCTTCTTTTTCTCGTTCCTCCTCTACGAGTTATTTTTTCCGTTTTTATTAAGAGATTCACGATTCTTTTTTTTTTCTATAAAATATTCCTTTCGTCGTTATTGAAACAAATGACTCTTTTCCTCTTTTTCTTTTTTTATATAAGTGCTATTTTTTTTTGTTCCTATTAAGACATACACGATTTCTTCTCTTATAGATATTCTCTTTGCCCTTATCGAGCGTACCGCACTTTCAGCTTCGTGTCTTTTTTCAAATAGTAAATTTCCGACTCGTTAAACGGATTTAATTTCACCGAGATGAGAGCTTAACGAGCTCGGTGGCGATGGTCGTGGTCGGGCTTTAAAGTCAAGACTGCCCCGGCGTATCGACGTAATATTATTTTGAATTTCAAAGTGACGAAGTCTCGAAGGTTGAACAACGAGGTTGCGCGATCGCTTCGCTGCTCTCGATCTTCATTCCCCGCACTCGTGGACTCAGGATCAGGGAAGTCGAACGTAGGGATCGTGCGAAGAAATAATTCTCGAGAATCCTGCAAAATTCGAAAAGATTCGGTAGATTAGATCTCTCGATCTACTTATACGCATGCCGTTATATTACAACTAGTCTCGTGTATGTAAAATTATATCGGGTACATCGATCAAGGGGATAACGCAAACTTTCCGGGATAGGAATTGAAAACGATATATATATATA